TTTTTTTTTTTTTTGCCAATGGAGTCTCGCTCTGTTGCCAGACTAGAGTACAGGTGGTGTGATCTTGGCTCACTGCAAGCTCCGCCTCCCAGTTCATGCCATTCTCGTGCTCAGCCTCCGAGTAGAGTAGTTGGACTACAGGTGGCCTGCACATGACCGTTAATTTTTTTGTATGTTTGTAGCGGACGGGTTTCACCTTGTTTAGCAGGATGGGACCGATCTCCTGACCTCATGATCCGCCCGCCTCGGCCTCCCAAAGTGCTGTTGAGTGATCTTCTTAATCCTGAATTCTTATTTGATTGCACTGTGGTCTGGAGAGGCTGGTTTTTATGATTTTTGTTCTTTTGCATTTGCTGAGGAGTGTTTTACTTCCAATTATGTGGTCAATTTTAGAATAAGTGCTATGTGGTGCTGAGAAGAATGTTTATTCTGTTGATTTGGGGGTGGAGAGTTCTGTAGATGTCTATTAGGTCTGCTTGGTGCCCAGCTGAGTTCAGGTCCTGAATATCCTTGTTAATTTTCTGTCTCGTGATCTGTCTAATATTGACAGTGGTGTGTTAAAGTCTCCCACTATTATTGTGTGGGAGTCTAGGTCTCTTTGTAGGTCTCAAAGAACTTGCTTTATGAATCTGGGTGCTCCTGTATTGGGAGCATATACATTTAGAATAGTTAACTCTTCTTGTTGCATTGATCTCTTTACCATTAGGTAATGTCCTTCTTTGTCTTTTTTGATCTGTGTTGGTTTAAAGTCTGTTTTATCAGAGACTAGGTGTGTAACCCCCCCTGCTTTTTTACTTTTTTTGCTTTCCATTTGCTTCATAAATATTCCTGTATCCCTTTATTTTGAATCTATGTGTGTCTCTGCATGTGAGATGGGTGTCCTGAATACAGCACACCAATGAGTCTTGACTGTTTATCCAATTTGCCTGTCTGTGTCTTTCATTTGGGGCATTTAACCCATTTACATAAGGTCAATATTGTTATATGTGAATTTGATCCCGTCATCATGATGCTAGCTGGTTATTTTGCACATTACTTGATGCAGTTTCTTCATAGTGTCGTTTTTCTTTGTATTTTGGTATGTTTTTGCAGTGGCTGGTACCAGTTTTTCCTTTCTATATTTAGTATTTCCTTTGGGATCTCTTGTAAAGCAGGCCTGGTGGTGACAAAATCCCTCAGCATTTGCTCATCTGGAAAGGATATTATTTCTCTTTTGCTTGTGAAGCTTAGTTTGGCTGGATATGAAATTCTGGGTTGAAATTCTTTTCTTTAAGAATGTTGAATATTGGCCCCCACCCTCTTCTGGCTTGTAGGGTTTCTGCAGAGACATCCATTATAAGTCTGATGGCCTTCCCTTTGTAGGTAATCTGACCTTTCTAACTGGTTGCCCTTAACATTTTTTTCTTCATTTCTACCTTGGTGCATCTGACGATTATGTTTTGGGGTTGGACTTCTTGAAGAGTGTCTTAGTTGTGTTATCTGTATTTCCTGAATTTGAATGTTGGCCTGTCTTGCTAGATTTGGATCATTCTCCTGGATATTATCATGAAGTGTGTTTTCCAACTTGGTTCCATTCTCCCCCTCATTTTCAGGTACACCAGTCAATCATAGGTTTGGTCTTTTCACATAGTCCCATATTTCTTTGAGGCTTTGTTTGTTCCTTTCCATTATTTTTTTTCTCTAATCTTGTCTTCACGCTTTATTTCATTAAGTTGATCTTCAATCTTTGATATCCTTTCTTTCGCTTGATCGATTTGGCTATTGATACTTGTGTATGCTTCACGAAGTTCTTGTACTGTGTTTTTCAGCTCCATCAGATCATTTATGTTTTTCTCTAAACTGGTTATTCTAGTAGCAGTTCCTGTAACTTTTTATCAAGGTTCTTAGCTTCCTTGCATTGGGTTAGAACATCCTCCTTTAGCTGCAATAGTTTGTTATTATCAACCTTCTCAAGTCTACTTCTGTCAATTCATCAAACTCATTCTCCATCCAGTTTTGTGCCCTTGCGCATGGAGTTGTGATCCTTTGGAGGAGAAGAGGCATTCCAGTTTTTGGAATTTTCAGCAGTTTTGTGCTGTTTTTTCTCATCTTGTTGGATGTATGTACCTTTGATCTTTGATACTGATGACCTTTGGATGAGGTTTTTGCGTGGGTGTCCTTTTTTTGATGTTTATGTTATTGCTTACTGTTTGCTATTTTTCCTTCTAACCGTTACACCCCTCTTCTGCAGGTCTGCTGGAGTTTGCTGGAGGTCCATTCCAGACCCTGTTTGCCTGGGTATCACCAGCAGAGGCTGCAGAACAGCAAAGATTGTTGCCTGCTTTTTTTTTTTTCTGGAAGCTTCATCCCAGTGGGGCACCTGCCAGATGCCAGTCAGAGCGTTCCTGTGTGAGGTGTCTGTAGACCCCTGCTGGGAGGTATCTCCCAGTCAGGAGACATGAAGGTCAGGGGCCCACTTGAGGGGCAGTCTATCCCTTTGCAGAGCTCGAGCACTGTGCTGGGAGATCTGCTATTCTGTTCAGAGCTGGCAGGCAGGAGCATTTAGTCTGTTGAAGCTGTGCCAACAGCCGCCCCTTCCCCTAGGTGCTCTGTCCCAGGGAGATGGGAATTTTATCTATAAGCCCCTGACTGGGGCTGCTGTCTTTCTTTTAGACATGCTCTGCCCAGTGAGGAGGAATCTAGAGAGGCAGTTTGGCTACAGTGAGTTTGCCGCGCTGTGGTAGCTTCTACCCATTCCGAACTTCCTGGCAGCTTCGTTTACACTATGAGGGAAAGCAGCCTATTCAAGCCTCAGTAATGATTAACTCCCTTCTCCTCACCAAGCTCAAGCGCTCCAGGTTGAGTTCAGACTGCCCTGCTGGCAGCGAGAATTTCAAGTCTGTGGGTCTTAGCTTGCTGGGCTCCATGGAGGTGGGACCTGCTAAGCAAGACCACGTGGCTCCCTGACTTCAGCCCTCTTTCCAGGGGAGTGAATGGTTCTGTCTCCCTGGGCTTCCAGGTGCCACTGGGGTATAAAATAAAACTCCTGCAGCTAGCTCGGTGTCTTCCCAAACAGCTGTCCAGTTTTGTGGTTACAACTCAGGGCCCCGGTGGTGTGGGCACACGAGGGAATCTCCTTGTTTGCGGGTTGCAAAAACCGTGAGAAAAGTGTAGTATCTGGACCAGATAGCACAATTTCTCACGGCTTCCCTTAAGGGAAGGTTCGTGGCCCCTTGCACTTCCCAGGTGAGGCAACGCTCCACCCTGCCTCTGCTTGCCCTCTGTGGGCTGTACCCACTGTCTAACCAGTCCCAATGAGATGAACCAGATACCTCAGTTGGAAATGCAGAAATCACCCACCTTCTGTGTTGTACTCACTGGGAGCTGCAGACCAGAGCTGTTCCTATTGAGTCATCTTGCTAGATCTCAAAAGCTCTTTTTTATTTACCTACATATTTACCACTTTTGGTGTTTTCTGTTTGTGTAGATTTAGATTTCCGTTAGGTATTATTTTTCTTATACCTGAAGGACTTCCTATTTCTTGTAGTGCACATCTCCCAGTAATGAATTATTTCAGCTTTTGTGTGTCTGAAAAGTTGCAAAAGTTCACCTATACTTTTGAAAGACATTTCACTGTTACAGAATCCTAGGTTGGCAGCATTTTTTCTTTCAGTACTTTAAAAATGTTTCTTCACTGTCTTTATTGGATTTCTTTGATGAGAAATCTGCTGTTATTCTTCCATTTGTACTTAATATAATTACTGACTACGTAGGATTTACATCTGCCATTTTGCTATTTGTTTTCTATATGTCTTTTATTTCCATTACTGCCTTGTTTTATGTTATTTAGATTATTTTCTGTTGTACCTGTTTTGGAGATCCCCAAGACCAACTCTAGGACTCATAGTACCCAGAAGTCATTATATTCATGGTTATAGCTTATTACAGCAAAAAGATGCAAGGCAATATCAGCATAGGGAATAGGCAAATGTGGCACAGTTTGGAGGAAACCAGGCAGGTGCAAACTTCCAAGAGTACTTTTCCAGTGGAATTGTATAGGATTCATTTAATTCCTCTATCTACAATTTGTAGGAACACGTGTGAAGTGTGGTTTACCTGAGAGCTCATTTTAGCCTAATATTCAAGTTTTTTTAGTGGGGTTTGGTCACATAGGCACACAGTGCCTGCATGGTTGACTCCAGTTACCAAAACAGACCACCAGAAAGAAAACAGGTGTTCCCCATAAGTCACATTATTTTACAGACTATGTTTTTTTAAAAATTTTTTTTTTTTAGTTTGAATATATTTTGGTGTACAAGTCATTGCTGGTTACATGGATAAATTGTATAGTGTTGAAGTCTGAGATTTTAGTAAACCCATCATTCGAGTAGTGTACATTGTACTGAATATGTAGTTTTTTAAAATCCCTTACTCCCCTTCCACCTTTCCCCTTCTGAGTCTCCAAAGTCCATTATTCCACTGTGTATGCCTTTGCATACCCATAGCTTAGCTCCCACTTATAACTGAGAACATACAGTTTTGGGTTTTCTATTCCTGAGTTATTTCACTTAGAATAATGGCCTCTGGCTCCATTCAAGTTGCTGCAACAGACATTATTTCATTCTTTTTTATGGCTGAGTAGTATTCCATGGTGTTGTATATGTAACACATTTTTTTTTTTGAGACAGGGTCTCACTCTTGCCCAGGCTGGAGTGCTGTGGCATGATCAGGCCTCACTGCAGCCACTATCCCCCATAAAGTGATCATCCTGCCTCAGCCCCCAGAGTAGCATGCGCCTCACACCTGGCTAATTTTTTTTTTTTGGAATTTTAGTAGAAATGAGGTCTCACTATGTTGCCTAGGCTAGTCTTGAACCCCTGGACTCAAGTGATCCTCCCACCTTGCCCTTCAAAAGTTCTGGGATTACAGATATGAGCCACTGCACCTAGCCTACTACATTTTCTTGATCCACTCATTGGTGGATGGACATTCAGGTTGGTTCCATAGTTTTGCAGTTGTGAATTTTGCTACAATAAACATATGCATACAAGTGTATTTTTGATATAATTAATTCTTTTTCTTTGGGTAGATATGCAGTAGTGGGATCGCTTCACTGAATGGTAGATCTACTACTTTTAGTTCTTTAAGAAATCTCGGCTTTTTTCCAAGGAAGCTGGTGTTGCCGAGATTGCCAAAATGCTTTGGAGTTTTTAACTGAATCTAAGAAAAGTCCAAAATAGATTTGAGACTGTAAAAACAGAAACTGCAGCAAGGGGGATTCAGTGCCAATGCATCAACAAAAAAGACAGCCAAAGTTAGTGGAAGGAAATCTTTCTGTTTTCGTGTTCCCCACGGAGCTCATATTTTATGCAGATGATCAGTCAACACATAAGCAAGTGTTGACACTGTACAATCCCTATGAGTTTGCCTTAAAGTTCAAAGTTTTGTGTACTACTCCAAATAAGTATGTTGTCGTTGATGCTGCAGGTGCAGTAAAGCCTCAGTGTTGTGTGGATATTGTAATTCGTCATAGAGATGTTCGATCCTGTCACTATGGTGTAATAGACAAATTCCGTCTTCAAGTTTCTGAGCAAAGCCAGAGGAAGGCTTTGGGAAGAAAAGAGGTTGTTGCTACTCTTCTCCCATCAGCAAAAGAACAACAAAAGGAAGAAGAGGAAAAAAGAATAAAGGAACATTTAACTGAAAGTTTATTTTTTGAGCAGTCATTTCAACCAGAAAACAGAGCTGTCTCCTCAGGACCTAGTTTACTAACTGTCTTCCTGGGAGTGGTGTGCATTGCAGCCCTGATGCTGCCTACAATGGGGGATGTGGAATCGCTGGTGCCTCTCTACCTCCACTTAAGTGTGAATCAAAAATTAGTGGCTGCTTATATCTTAGGTCTTATCACAATGGCCATACTTAGAACATGAGCAAGGATTTCAGTTGACTTCTGAAGTAAATCTATCTTGAAAATATGAATGTGGACTGCCTTTTATCTCTATTTCACTCCATTAACATGCTACAAACTATTGAATGATTTCAAGTAATTGCAGATGTATAATATATATTTTAAATTATAATTTAATTTGAAGGACTGCAGAACATTATTTTACAGACAGCAAGGATGCTTCTGAGTGACACCTAGGAAATTATTTGAAGAAATTCTTTTTATACCTATACCTGTTGTGCAAGAGACTTTAAAACATTTGTTATTTGCTCACCCTTTTTTTCCAGTTCACTTTGATTGCTAGGGGTCATGTACGCTTCAAAGTTACAGGACTAAAAGAACAAACTGACCGGCCTAAAACTAAAATGACATTTATTCCCTAGCTACAAACGTCAGCGTTATTATGTTAATCATACCTTACCCTCTATCATTATAAGCGGTTGCCATGGTGTTTCTAAAAGTAAGTGTTTTACCATTAATGTGTAGAGGGGAACAAAGCATAAAGTACTAAGGGATCATGCTTATCCTAGGGTCTCACAGAAGACAGGACATATTAATTAATCTTGTGAATTACAGAATGGGTTGTGGTCCAGACACCAAGAATCATAGGGGTTTTTTAAAAAAACCTAATGGAAGTAGGGTGACCTCTCTCTTTGGTCTAAGAGTTCTAAAGGAAGGTAGGCATCTGTTTAATTAGTTGGTTCACCCTGGCTTTACCTCTGGTTAATGCTTTGTGTTAACAGGAAGGAAAAATCACTTTATCTTTTCTTCCAAGCCCCTTCCCCACCTGACTTGCCCAGACTGGGATTACCAGAGACCAGGTGATTTATGTGGAGATGATTTTTCACCTTTAAACTCTAAGCCAAGTGTAGGAAACTCTTCATAGCTGTGTCGATTTTATATCAGTCACTGAGACTTTAAGTTTTTATTTATTATTAAGACAACTTTGCCAAAAAAAATCCCCTAAGCACAACTATTTACATTTCTTTATAGCCTCTTCTGATCTCTAACACATATATGCAGTTTTAACTGTTACTGTCATAGTAACTGATCTTTTGTCTAATGATTTTTACCTGAAAGCACAATGCATTAAGAGTCTCTTGAAAATCATCTTTCAGATCTTTTTACAGAATGAATTTATGCACTGCTACAAACACAAATGTATGCCTGAGGTTGGTTTTTGCAGAAAATAGTCTCCGCTTCTAAAAACTTCTATGTCTAGTCTTCCATAGGAAATCCTCAGTGTTTAACCATGTGAGGAGCCTAAGTCATTAAACGGATCATGTCTGTACATTGTGTAATGAATGAAAAGCACATAAATGTAATCTACTTTGAACTTTGTAAAAATTATGTGTGGAGGCTATTCTTATTTATCCATCTCAAGTCCTGTGTGTGCACGTGTGCACAAGTGCACATACGTGTATGTATGTGTGTATAATAACACATTGTAAAGAACAGAAATTACTTTAAAAAATAAACAGAAATGGAGCCCTGAAAAAAAAAAAAATCTCCATACTATTTTCCATAGAGGTTGTACTAATTTACATTGTGACCAGCAGTGTTTAAGCATTCCCTCTTCACCACATCCACATCCACATCTGTTATTTTTTTGACGTTTTAATAATGGCCTTTCCTGTAGGGGTAAGGTGGTATCAGATTGTGGTTTTAATTTGCTTTTTTCCTGATGATTAGTGATGTTGAGTATTTTTTCTTGTTTGTTCGCCATTTGTATATCTTCTTTTGAAAAATGTCTATTCATGTCATATGCCCACTTTTTGATGGGACTTTTTTTTGCTGATTTGTTTGAGTTCCTTGTATATTCTGGATATTGGACCTTTGTTGGATGCATAGTTTGCAAATATTTTCTTTCATTCTGTTCATTGTCTGTGTACTCTATTTCTTTTGTTGCGCAGAAACTTTAATTAGGTCCCATTTATTTATTTTTGTTTTTGTTGCATTTTCTTTTGAGGTCATATTTGTTGGGAACAGGCTGCAAAATCTGGCCATAAACTGGCCCCAAAACTGGCCATAAGCAAAATCTCTGCAGCACTGTGACATGCTCGTGATGGCCTTGACACCCACGCTGGAAGGTTGTCAGTTTACTGGAATGAGGGCAAGGAACACCTGGCCCACCCAGGGCAGAAAACCACTTAAGGCATTCTTAAACCACAAACAATAGCATGAGCGATCTGTACCTTAATTAAGGTCATGTTCATGCTGCAGATAACTAGCCAGAGCCCATCCCTTTACCTCGGCCCATCCCTTTATTTCCCATAAGGAATACTTTTAGTTAATCTATAATCTATAGAAATAGGGGAGCTTGGAAGCATCAGGGTAACAATGGGACAAGTGTGGACTCTGGTTCGTTCCACCTTGGAACCTTTTCACACTAATGATGAGGAGGAAGGAAAGTATAACGAGTAACAGAAGAGGTGACAGAGCAGGTTTGTTTGCCAGCTAAAGCGGCAAAGGAGGGAGAGGTTCATCCTTACCCTTCTCCACCCCCTCCTTATTTTGAAGAAAAAGAGTGGTCTGGCCCTGCAGATCTTTCTTTTCTGGAGGATACTGGGTGAAAATAGTTTCCCCAGTGACTGTTCAAGCAGCGCCTTGAGTAACCACTCTCAGTTCTATTCAGGCAGGAATTCAGCAAACTAGATGAGGGGGTGATTTAGAGGCTTGGCAGTTCCCTGTTAGAATATACCACCCAGATCAACAGGGAAATATTATAGCTACATTTGAGCCTTTTTCTTTTAAAAGTGGGAAACGCCATGAGGGGCCCATCCCAGACCCCATTCCAAACTGGGACATTTCTGGCTCAGGCCATTCCCTCACCCCTGTACAATGTCTGTCCCCTGCCACAGCCAGTAGTGCTGCAGTAGATTTATGCTGCAAAAAAGCTGTGAGCGTTCTTCCTGGGAACTCCCACAAAAAGTTCCAACAGGGGTCTGTGGATCTTTGCTAGCAGGGATGATGGGATTACTTCTAGGAAGGTCTAGTTTAAATTTAAAAGGGGTACAAATACAAACAGGAGTCATTGATTCAGATTACAATGGGGAAATTCAGATTGTTATATCTACTTCTGTTCCCTGGAAAGCAGAGCCAGGGGAGCATATAGCACAGTTCCTGATTGTGCCGTATGTGGAAATGGGGAGAAGTGAAATTAAATGAACAGGAGGATTTGGAAGCACAAATAAACAAGGCAGAGCAGCTTATTGGGTGAATCAAATTACTGATAAATGTCCTACCTGTGAAATAACTATTCAGGGAAAGAAATTTAAAGGGTTGGTAAATACAGGAGCAGACATTTCAATTATTTCTCTACAGCACTGGCCGTCCACATGGCCAGTTCATCAACCCACTCAATTTAACATAGTTGGAGTTGGTAAAGCCCCTGAAGTATATCCAAGTAGGTATATTTTGCCTTGTGAAGGGCCCGATGAACAACCTGGGACTATTCAGCCAATTATAACTTCTGTACCTATATATAGATTTATGGGGAAGAGATTTATTACAATGCTCAGTTACAATTTCATACAGATGAACAACTGATGACAAAAACAAACAAGGGGGAGAAACAGGGATTACAGGACAGCCCATATATAATTGAATCTAACATTGTTAGCTTTAAATTTTTTGAGCCTCCCTAAAGGCCAGATGTTATCAGCAGCTGAACAGCATCTACAGAAACAAGCTGCAAAGACAAAAGCAGAACAACTGGTTTAGTAGAGAGATCCAATAACGAAAAGTTGGGAAATAGGTAAAATAATAACTTGGGGTAGAGGTTATGCTTGTGTTTCTGCAGGCCAAAATCAACAGCCGATTTGGATACCATCAAGAAACCTGAAAGCTTATCATGAGCCAGATGCCAAGGAAGAGATTCCAAGAGGATCCCGAGAACCCCCCGGTTGCAGTCATGTCGAGACTGAAGCTGATGAGGACCCCAACTGTCATGAACAACACCCGTCGAACACAGCCATCCACCTTGGGACAGATCAAGAAGCTGTCACAGATGGTGGAAGAAAACCTGAGGAAAGTGGGACAACCAGTCACAATGAGTAATTTAATGGTAGCTATGATAGCATATCATATCACCACTGCCTTGAGTATTCCTTCAACAAGGGCTGACACAGAGATCAATTATACATATTGGGCATATTTATCAATCTTGGCTGGCAATAATGCCTGGATGTGATTACTCTATGACACAGTTACACATGCTTTCTGGTCTCAATATTTACCGTAATAAATCTGCTCCTATAATTGAGGCATACCGCCCTCAAAAACCTATTTGTAAACAAATTTGAACTTGGCCAGAAAAAATGAACATACTTGTTTAGGAAGATTGCATTGCAGAACAGGCAGAGATGCTGTGCAATGATTCCTATGGAATCATTATTGATCGGCCCCCTAAGGGGGTGTTTAGCTTGAATTGCATTTCTCAGTCTGTGTGTCACAGCCACACTGTGTTCAGCTGGTCTGAACAAAATGGTCAGATGGTACAAATGGTACAAAGTACAGCAAGAGTTCCTATTATCTAGAACCATGGCGGTATAGTGGCACCTCAACCTCAAATGATATAGCCCATTGTAAGAGCTAAACATAAGAATCTGTGGAAACTATTAATAGCTTTTAATAAAATCAAAATTTGGGAAAGAATAAAAAAGCATCTAGAAGGACACTCTGCAAACTTGTCTTTGGATATTGCAAAAAAAAAAAAAAAAAAAAAACCCAACAACAAACAACAAATATTTAAAGCATCCCAGGCACACCTGACCTTAATGCCAGGAACTGGAGTGCAGCTACTAAGCCATTAAAATGGATAACAACACTTAAAAACTCTGTGATTTCAATGATAATTGTGCTTTTAATCTGTGTTGTTTGTTTTTATATAGTTTGCAGATGCAGATCCTGACTCCTGGGAGAAGTAGCTCACCATGACAAAGCTGCCTTTGCTTTTATCGCTTTGCAAAACAAAGAAAGGGGACATGTTGGGAACAGGCCCCAAAATCTGCCCATAAACTGGTCCCAAAACTAGCCATAAACAAAATCTCTGCAGCACTGTGACATGCTCTTGATGGCCTTGACACCCACGCTGGAAGGTTGTCGGTTTACCGGAATGAGGGCAAGGAACACCTGGCCCACCCATGGCAGAAAACTACTTAAGGCATTCTTAAACCACAAACAAAAGCATGAGTAATTTGTGCCTTAAGGACATGTTCATGCTGCAGATAACTAGCCAGAGCCCATCCCTTTACCTCGGCCCATTCTTTATTTCCCATAAGGACCCCTGATTTCCCACTCCACATTGTATATTTCTCTGTGTGTATCTTTAATTCCTCTAGTGCCACTGGGTTAGGGTCTCCCCGACCAAGCTAGTCTCGGCACATATTCATAAATTCTTTGCCTGGGCCAATGTCCAGAAGAGTTTTTCATAGGTTTTCTCCTGGAATTTTAATGTTTTCACATCTTAGATTTAAGTATTTGATCCATCTTGAGTTGATTTTTATATAAGGTGAGATATAGGGATCCAGTGTCATTCTTCTACATGTGGATATCCAGTTAACCCAGCACCATTTATTAAATAGTGTCTTTTTCTCAATTTATGTTTTTGTATGCTTTGTTGGAGATCTGTAGGTTGTAGGTGTTTGGCTTTATTTCTGGGTTCTCTATTCTGTTTCATTTCTGTATCTACTTTTATGCCAGTACTATGATGTTTTAGTAACTATAGTCTTGTAGTATAATTTGAAGTTAGGTAATGTGATGACTGCAGATTGGCTATTTTTGCTTAGAATTGCTTTGGCTATTTGTACTCTTTTGTGGTTCCCTATGAATTTTAGGATTAACTTTTTAAATCTTTAAAAAATAATGTTGGGATTTTGATAGGAATTACATTGAATCTGTAGATTGCTTTGGGCTGTATTCTCATTTTCACTATATTAATTCTTTCAATCGATGAGCATAGGATGTGTTTTCATTTGTGTCATCTACGATTTCTTTTAGTACTTTTGTAGTTGTCATTGTAGAGATCTTTTACCTCATTGGTTAAGTATATTCCTAGTTTATTTATTTATTATTTATTAATTTATTTATTTAGCTATTGTAACAGAGATTGAGTTCCTGATTTCCTTCTCAACTTGGTCATTGGTTATAGCAGGGCTACTGATTTGTGTACACTGATTTTGTAACTTGAGACTTTACTGAGTTTGTTTATCAAATATAGTTGTATTTTGGAGGAGTCTTTAGGGATTTCTAGGTATAAAATCCTATCATTGGCAAACAGCAATATTTTGACTCCTTTTCCAATTTGAATACCCTTTATTTCTTTCTCTTGCCTGATTGCTCTGGCTATGAATTCCAGTATTATGTTGAATAGAGGTAGTAAAAGTTGCCATCCTTGAATTCTTCCAGTCTCAGCGGGAATGCTTTCAACTTTTCCTGATTCACTACGATAAGGTCTGTGGGTTTGTCATATATGGCTTTTATTATTTTGAGGTA